GTTCCACGAGGCACAGCGCAAAGACCACGACGAAGGACCGCTCTCTAATCGCTCGTTACTGTCGCACTTTGACTATGACTTCGCATTTCACCCAGTCGACTACGTATGGTCTGACGAACTGCATGGTAGGTGTCTGCCCACTGTGATTTTATACTAACTCTGTTTGTTGACTCCATTTTTGCTGTGTATAGTTTGCAAAACTTGTCATCCATGCTTAGTTCTTTCTTAGCACTTTTGACTGTTTCTCCGTTTGCAGAGGTCTCATAGTGACCTATATTTTGAATATACTTTTATATTTGGCATTGTCTGCTATCTAAGTAAAACAAAGCAAGCAGGTTACTGAACAAAATGTGACAAAGCTGATTTTTTTTTCACGATACATGCTGCTATGGCTGGTGACAGCTGAAAAGTAGATCGCCTTTGCCACGTTCTTTAACGCGAAAAGGCTATTGTATTGAATATCTCAAAATGACGTTGTCTTAACAGAGCAGAGATAGAGGCAGTAAAAAATCGTTTGGCCCTAGGCGCTACGGGGACCCATTACAATCATACCTTGTATCGATTTTGCTGATTATCTTGTACAAGTAATTCGTTCTACCCTGCTTTAGTGTAACCAGCTGAAAATTGGTCCTGTTCTGCAACTAAAGTATACCTTGACGCAGTTGCTCATCTAATCAGCATACGGTGTAATCGTTAATTTAAATAAAACTAAATAGTAACAAACAATTAACCACATGAATCAGTTTGTAGTACATTTTTTGATCCCTGGTCTTTGACTATTCCTTATGCTTTATATCCAATGTATTTATTTTATTTGACTATTTTTTGCCTGAAGTATTTTCATTTGTTTGTCTGCAGTGTCTGCGCTATCCTCTGGACATCACTGCGAACTGCCAAACAGCTTGTCTGCTATTAACTAACCTTTTTTGCCAATGCTCTTTATGACATCTCTTTTATGAAGGTGCTTCAGATGTGGCCTTATTTGTTAAGATCAAGCAGTATTCTTAGATGTTGCATAACCTTTTCGGTTCTAGACGCGTAGACAAATTGTAGACTATTCGTCGTTTCATGGCCTAGGACACCGAACAGCACAGATGTTAACAGTGTATTACCAACGCGTTTCATTATGTGACGATGCTACGGCATGCGTGGTGAAACGCGTTCGCAATGAACTGCTACCTTCTGTCATTTGGTGCGCCCTTTCATGAATCAGCAAGCACTCACAATCCCATCCTTGGATCCACTCTTGATGACTAAGTATACTTATTGCAAAAGATCCGTAGACAAACAGTCAAAAGGGCAGCTGCTGTTATCATTAATATTGGGTCTTGATATTCTCAGCATTTTAGTTTCACGTTTTACAATTTTATGCTGATTTTATATATTTTTGTTTGGTTTATGTCTGCTTTAGGCGAGAAAATCAAGCCCCGTTATATGGCCACCGGGGTAGAAGAGCAAACCGGAAGGGAAGAGACCGGGGCGAAGTTGACAAACTTTGCCAAACATTTTGTCTGCTCGATGATCGCCCACACCATTGGCATCCGATTGCTTTATCCGGGGATGATTTCGTTGATTCAGAAGAATTTGTTGTCCACCCTGAACGAAGGTCGCATTAATTTGTTGACCACTTTCAGTGCCAAGCGATTGAAGTTGAAAACCAAAAACGGTATGAAAATTGGGATGGTTTATGTGAGTCATGGCGTAAGCCGTGATGAATCTTGATACGTCTTCGTAATTAGCGGGTATCATTATTATTTGATCCCGGTGCCCACGTTTGTCTGTCTCGTGCATTTTGTCGTCATAGGCTTTCATGTCCCGTGCATATATACCATTCATGTCCCATATCCCCTTTCGTATTACCCTATATTACTGCTGTTTGTGCTATGCAATTTGATCAGTATCTAACACATGGTAATGGGAGAGACTGTCAGTGCTTAGAAACTTAAAGTAGTTTATTTTGATAGCTACAGTTCTGCCAAGCAAGATATATGAAATATATTTAGTTCAGTTTAAGTTTATTTACTTAGGCGTTCCTGAAGGAAAACGACCAGTTTCTAATTCATCCAGTGATGGAGATAATAACAGAAAGATATAACTTACAGATATCGATTTGATTCTGTAATGCATGACGCATCTTTGAAAGACACTGAAGCTGAATTTTGGAAAACCAGTGTGTATGCTTTAAATGTAAAATTGCTTGTGAATCGGCTGTAAGTTTATAAATATTTTCCGTGCATAGTCAGTGCCATATAAAACATTTATATATTATAGCGAATTACGTAGATGCGGTTTTTGTGGACAGGAGAAACGGCAGCAGTTTTTCGAACGGCAACGTGCTTGTTGTGACATGCGAAGGGAACGCAGGCTTTTACGAAATCGGCTGTCCAAAGCCGCCTTTGGCAGCTGGCTACTCAGTGCTCGGTTGGAACCATCCCGGTTTCGGGGGCAGTTCTGGTCTTCCCTGGCCTAAGCACGAATTCGAGTCTATAGACGTCGTGCTACAGTTCGCGCTGTCCCAAGGTATGACTTTAGGTGGTTGTTGTAAGTAATACGGTAACGAAAAATGGAATAAATTTTTAATGAATTAAAGAAAGCGATATTAATTAGTTTTTAATATGAATATGTATATTTGTATATGATTAATTTGCATTTAAATGATGAATCTTTGATTGACATCTGACGCGAAATCATCAAACATGAAATTTTGACCCTTTATGCGCAAAATGAGTACATGCTGTGCGGATAATCATTAAAAAATACAGATTCACGTAAGCAAAAGGACGTTCATCAGACTCAAGAACGTCGATACTACTTGACTATATAATACGGCATTGTGTAATATGGCATTCCTACTGCAGGTAATTTATTTTGCAGAAGATCTGCATGGTAGCGATAGAAATATCGGCTAAGGGGGTTAATAGCCAAAAAATAGTTTTGACATCTGGAACCGACATTCAGTCAGAACGAAACAGAATCATCGATTTTTTTTTAAAATTAGCATCGTTAATAGCGACGGAAAATTATCGTTTATATGAAGTACTTTATTGGCTAATAATTTATGTAAATGTAAAACAGTCTTCCTTACTACTCTCGACTATAAACTGTGCCGTAGTTGCCTGTGGTACTTATGTCAGCCCGCGGCTGCTATGATTCTGATGTTGGATTACAGCGAGAAGAAATGACTGACTGACTGATACTAATTCATGGTGCTTCCTCCTAGTTGCTGGCAAGATATTCAGTGTATGTGAGAAAGCTGAAAAGTAAAATAAGAAGTTTCTGAATAATGAAGTTGTTCAAGTATCGATTGATAATTTCGGGATCAGTCCAAATCGTAATTTTTATACATTGAGCGTTAACTTCATATCATTGAAATCTTTCTGTAACAGAAATGTTGATGAACCCGAATTATTTGCCTATTCGACAGAAACAGAAAGAAATTGAATATGCCAACGGAAAATGGAAAATACAAATTTGTCGTAAATGACGTATTTTTGACTTTCTAGTCTGATTTGATATGTAAGTCATATGTATATCACAATGGCAGAGAATAAGTTTTAACCGATTTAAAGTTTTCACTGTCACCACCGATTTGATTCCCTAAATAGCTTGGTTTATTAAGTTTGAAACACTCCTTTTCAGGGTTCTTGGAAGAGCAGATTGTCATTTACGCATGGTCAATCGGTGGCTTTGTGGCATCGTGGGCTGGAGTTAACTACCCAAATATTAAGGTAGTGCAGTTTTTTAGCACAGTCACTGTTGTGAGTTTCTTTTGTTTAGGCTATCATTCTAGATGCACCCTTTGACGATTTGCTACCCCTCGCATTGAAAACTTTGCCGGAATCTTGCTCTGATTTGGTGGAGTACACAGTCAGGAACTTCATGAATTTGCATACAGCCGCCTTGATTAAAGACTACAATGGCCGGCTTGGGATTATCCGTCGAAGCAAGGATGAAATTCTAAGTTCTCCGGATGATCTGCTAGGCGCTAATCGATGCAATTCTTTGATTAACACCGTGTTATCCACAAGGTGGGTGAATTGGTTCGTTTCAGCGCTTTGAGGTTATTTACTTCGCCATCTCCTTCTTATTATTCATTTGGGTATAAGAAAATAGAAATATAAAAATCGAACCATGCAAGGCCTTGGATGAAACAGATCTCTGGTAATGGAAAACCAGTTGAACAACAGTATGAACCTATCATTCTTGAGTCTACTATGAGAGCGACTTAATGGTTGAAAAATTCTGAACGTAGATGCAAGTGACAGAGATGATGTTACATGTATGATGATCTGCAAGCTTTGGAAGGTGGCAATTGGAGATATCATTTTAATAAGCCTCTTCAAGCTTATCAATTGCAATTTCCATTTCATTTGGAATGCATTTACCGTAAATGTTCTTAAAATGTGGTTACAAGAAGAAAACATCATAAGGCAGGGTAACCTTGCAAAGCCCAATGGCAGATTGTCAAAGGGCAGATTTAGAGACTGTCTGCTGGTTTATAACGAAATTCCTTAAATTGTCGCTGCTTCTTGATTGGCGGAAGACTTGGATCATTAGGAAAATATCTTGGAACTGCTACCTTCTTGCCAAGGGAATAAAAGACTATGTCTGTCTGCTGCAGTCATCATGTGAACAGGTAGGATTTATCTGTGTTTCTGAAAAACAAACGGAAGGCCAGTATTCGTTATTGCAAATATCTATGCGGTTCTGTGTTTCTTTGATCTGAATTTTGAGTAACATCGTTTTTAGGTATC